ATTCACCTCATCTTTCTTGCCATATTTATTACAACGTTTCGGCCTTTCAGTATCTGTCTATATTTCTGAGATGAGATATTATGTACACTATTTACATTATTTGGACTATTGTCCTCATCTTTGTTGCCATATTTATTACAACGTTTCGGCCTTTCAGCATCTGTCTATATTTCTGAGATGAGGTATTATGTACACTATTTGCATTATTCGGACTATTGTCCTCATCTTTGTCGCCATATTTATCACAACGTTTCGGCCGTTCAGTAACTGTCTATATTTCTGAGATGAGGTATTATGCACACTATTTACATTATTCGGACTATTGTCCTCATCTTTGTCGCCATATTTATTACAACGTTTCGGTCTTTCAGTATCTGTCTATATTAACTCATTTAACTCAAAGCTAGTGGAGACGAGGTGGACTCATACCTTTCCCAAGAATATTTGCGCGTAAGTGAATATAACGAACCCGACTGGAATTCGAACTTCGATTTCCAATTCCTGGGCCTTCAAATTTAGAATACCTAGTATTCCAAAGAGGTCACCCATCTAGGTACTGATCAGGCTCTATGTTTTTCAACTTCTGTCATCGGATGCCTTACAATTCTAGAGCCAATCATTACTTTATGTTTTTGTGTTCATAGATACGTGTTTTTAAATTTCTGCAAATTTTCCCAATGTATAGTTAGGAGCAGTTCTTGCAATTTATTTTATATCTATCAGCTTCAGAAGTATAATTGTTATGGGGATATTTAGTTCTGATCAATTCCATAATATTTTTGGATGTGGGTATAATTATTGTGTGGTTTTTTAGGTTGGATAGTTTTTCTGGGTAGTCGATGTTATGGAGCTAGTAGTTAGTATTATGTATCTGTTTTTATTTAGTTTACTGCTGTTGTTACTGTTGTTAATAATGTTGTTATCATTCTTCCTGGTAGATTTACTATAAACCTCAAACTGAATTATTATTTCTATGCATCATAATCTCTAGGAAGGGTAAATTGTTGTTTGACTCAGATTCAAAGGTAAAGTCTATTGGGAGTTTGACGTCATTAATATTGTTGACAAAATTGCATACAATTATGTTTTGCGGATATATTAATAGACAATCATGTCTGTATCTCATATAAGAAGAATTTTGTGGTAAAATAATTTTGAAAGGACCACTTTCCAGAAATTCCAAAAATAAAAATCCAAAACGCTATTAAGTGGAGACCCCATCTTTAAAAAATTTTCTCCTCTATAAACATTGTTATCGAAGGTGAAAAAAAACATTTATTAGTAATTAAATCGCCTATTTTGTATGATTTTGAGTGTAGGAATAGATAATGTTTTTTTGTTTTAGTTAAGTATGTTTTCAGTAAATTTAGACATTTATTTACAGGGAAATTGGTGTGTTATATAGGAGTAAAGTGTTGCTGCCGAAGTTTGAACACAGATTACTAGAGAACCAACATATGCAATTCAAATAGATCACGCGATGGTCAAGACAATGTATATATGGGAATTACCATGGCGTCTAATTGATCACTATTTCTACACTATCCTTTATTACTATACTGATCGCAATTCTTTCTACTATCATCTAAACTATTTCTTCATACTGATCACTACACGGATTTTTATTCGGTGATTACTATTCCAGCGAGTATTATCGAGCAAAAACTATTAGTGTGAGTGTTATTCGAAGGCGTCTGACACCAGTATTGTTCAACGGCGTTACTATAGTTGTATCTGCGATTACAAAGTCTCTACTACAATGAGTATTACGAAAGTGACAACAAGTGTTCGTTGACATTACAAAGGTGGCAACGAGTGTTCGTTGACATCAGAAAATTGTGTATACAAATTTTATATTTTAACACCTCATATTATGTTTTCATTTCATTTTAAAAAATTACGAGAGTTTTTTTCATATGCGTGGAGTTAATTGTACCAAGATGTGTACAGGATAGTTCAGGTCGGGCAAAGCTTATTTCTGATATGATGGGTCTCGCCATGATGTATAGGGTGTTAGAAGATAGTGGGGGCTAACCTTCAACTACAAGAAGGCAGAAATGGCGGTCACCAACGAGAGAAAAAATCCGAAGATGCTAGTTACGAATTCGAGATATAAAAATCTAGCAGGTGCACAATTTCAAATATTAGGAAAGTGTTTTAACAGAGAATGGAAAAGGTGACACCGAGATCCGAACACAAATCGGACCAGCGTAAGAAGCAATCCAAGAGCTAAGCGAGTTGCTTAGAAACAGAAACAAAAAAAGTGTGCTGGATTGATATGAGATATCTATCCTCTTATATGACGTTGAATATTGCACAATTTCTCAACGGATAAATGAAAACCAGGCATCAGAAATATGGTTGTGCAGGAGGATACTGAGGATTCCATGGGCTTAGTGAGTGTTGTAGTATAATCCCTCTAAAGAGTCTATGTTGGACTCTTCCGCCCACTAAAACGATTAGTCGGAGAGAAGGTCTTGCGGAAACAGTCGAATAGATTGTTCAACTGTCGAACTCTCTGCCTTGAGCAGGGAGGAACACGGACGAGGCTTTGCCGAAGGGGAGAGTTTCTTCCGGGGAGGTAGACAGGCGCTGAACCCATTTATGCGGGTTCTAAGGGAATATTTTTGGTCGAGCCTACGGGCTCGGAGAACCCACGGTAAACTCGACCTTGTGCCACATACATCCCTCGTGGTAGGTGGGCGTGGTGGCTGTTAAATATTAACAGTCGAATAGATTGAACGCTGGGTCAACCGACACACACTCACTAGTTGTATAATACTCTTCTTTGGTATTAACTGTATATATATATATATATATATATATATATATATATATATATATATCTGTAACACTTGTTTTGTTATTTCTTAAATCATTTACTTGGTCACAACAGTGAGTAAGCAAAAATGGAAACAGAAAGAAAACTTATACTCAGAATTAGGAAAATACGGCTAAAATTATTTGGGCACATATTGAGGAAGGAAGGATTGGAAAGCTTAACTCACACAGGTCATACTGAGGGCAAGAGAGATACGGGAAGGTAGCAAGCCACTTACTTGACCATGAAGAACTGAAGGAAGAAATTGACAAGTTGTAATAATCAATTTGCCTAGACCATTTCCAGTTACATAATGTCGAGGTACACAATGTTATGTAAATTGGACAGATTTGATTTTAAAGATGATCATCCGGGAAGGTTTTTTTTCTGGCTTGAACTTACATGATTTGTTATTGATTAATGTAGACTAATCGAACCATGGACTAATTGGACACTATATGAATGTAACAAATTTGAAAGTGTTAAAAAGGAACTAATGAAGCTAAATATCAACATCCAGTATGTGAAATTAGTTGAAGGACTTCACAAACGATAAATTCACAATCTTATATGCAAGCAGAAACAAAAAAAAAAAAAAGGAGCCGGACTAATATTAGATAAAAAGAAGAGGAAAAATGTCCAGGGAAAACTTGAAAACCTCGCCAAATATTCTCCCAGTAATACACGAAATAAGAAGTAGGTTTTACGACACAAGAGATAATGCGAAGAAATCAATGCCAATCACAATAAACTATTATCATCATGTGGAACCTAAATGAAGAATTAGAAAAGGAACATGGTTGTGGATTGAGTGACAAATATGTATTTGGATCGCGCAAGGAATGGGAAAACAAATGGGTCCAATAGTGCTCAGCAGACGACAAAAAATAAATAAATCCCCCCCCCCCAAAAAAAACAGTTAGTTTTAAAATACCTAGGATTTATCCAAGCACTAACCGTGGGGATGGTCCCTACCAAGTCATTGTCAAAATAAGGATAAAACTATAAAAATAAAGAAACTTAAAGCAATGCTTAAACTACAACAAAATACAGAACAATTCAATCTTCAAATAAATAGATGCATAATTATTTAAGGTGAATTATAAAACCGTAGAAGGTTCCAAAAACCCAAAGATCTGAATGGGTTCAATGCGAACATCAAAAGAGTTCAATTCAATGCGCGTAGGAATAGTGTAAGATGCCTTCCAGATAATAAACAAAGTATTAAGATAAGAGAAAATTTCATTCGAAACAGAGAATAGTGGTGAACTGCTATGTATTATCTAATCTCTTATACCGAACAGTATCTTCACAGATATTGAAAAGACTCGAGGTAAGCTAGACACAGTTCTATCTACTAATGCTAGGTATATAATAGACGCAACCTGTGGACAACTCGAAATTTTTAAGGCGAATATGAAATACATAGATATCATAGTTGCAATCAGCAGTATTCTGAAATCCTAAGACAATGAAAATTCAGAGCAAAGATGTCACGCAGAATTTAATACTGAAAAGGCATATTGTCCAGCTAACGATTTTGAATGAATTGTCGGAAAAACAAAGCCCAAGAAGAAAGAGTAGCGTAGCGGGACAGCATTTATTCAAAGCGACAAAGGAAGAGAACGTTGTGGAGAGACATGTTCATTTACGTCCTGAAAGGAAATGGCACAATTGGGACAAAAAACATGAATGGATAGCGTGAGGAAGAGAAAAAGAAAGAAAATAGATAGATAGATAGATAGATAGATAGATAGATAATCATTATGACGAGATAGATCGATAGATAGATAGATAGATAGATAGATAGATAGATAGATAGATAGATAGATAGATGGTGGAATAGAGAGAAGGAAAGAAAACAAAATAGAGATATAGAAAGAAAGCGATAAGAAGTGATAAAGAGAAGAAACAGGTAGATGAAGATAAGGAGAGAGAGAGAACGAAAATGATAAGTTGGGTGATATATATATATATATATATATATATATATATATATATATAGAGAGAGAGAGAGAGAGAGAAAGAGAGAGAGAAAAGGAGAAATAGCAAGAGGGCAAAAAAGAGAATGATAGATAAATTGTGAAAGAAAAAAAAAACGAAAGATACATAGATAAACACAGAGAGGGGTGATATATATATATATATATATATATATATATATATATATATAGATATATCAGAGATAGATAGATAGATAGAGAGAGAGAGAGGGAGGAGGAGAGGGGGTGAGATAGGGAGAGATAACGTCCAAAATGCAAATTGAATCAATATCTTTAGAAAATCAGCGACATCAAAACCTGCCCAATGATGGAAATGGCGCCATAAACTCACGCAACTTGCATGATTTTAATATGGATTCATCGACACAAGAAGAAAAACTATTGCAAAGGAAAAAGAAAGCAGAGTTTTATGTTCATTTAGTATGTTTGCCTTTTAGTCGCCAGTGCATTATTTATTTCCGCACGACAAAATTGTAATCAAACATCTACTTAAATATAGAGTGGAAGACTTCTGAAACGCAAAACGTAATAGAAATGGAGAAATATTGTTTTTTTATGAAATAATGAGACATATTTTGAATAAGTAAAAGAAAGTAAAAAGAAGAAAACGGGAAAGAAGGAAGGAAGGAAAGAAAGTAGAAATAAGGAAGGAATGAATGAAGAAAGTTTTGAAGGAAAATGGAAGAAAGAAAGGCAAAAAGAAAGAAAGGCAAAAAGAAAGAAAGGCACAAAGGGGGACAGGAAGAAAGGAAGGAAAGAAGTAATGAAGAAAGGCACGAAGGAAAGGGGGGCAGGCATGAAGAAATGAAGACAGGAAGGAAGGAAGGAAGGAATAAAAGTGGGGAGAGAGCAAGGCACGAAGTAAGGAAGAAAGAAAAGCAAGAAGAAAGGCCGTAAGAAAGGAATGGATAAGGGCAAGAAGAAAGGAAGGACGTAAGAAAGGAATGGATAAGGGCAAGAAGAAAGGAAGGACTTAAGAAAGGAATGGATAAGGGCAAGAAGAAAGGAAGGACGTAAGAAAGGAATGGATAAGGGCAAGAAGAAAGGAAGGACGTAAGAAAGGAATGGATGAGGGCAAGAAGAAAGGAAGGACGTAAGAAAGGAATGGATAAGGGCATGAAGAAAGGAAGTACGTAAGAAAGGAATGGATAAGGGCAAGAAGAAAGGAAGGACCTAAGAAAGGAATAGATAAGGGCAAGAAAAAAGGAAGGACGTAAGAAAGGAATGGATAAGGGCAAGAAGAAAGGAAGGACCTAAGAAAGGAATGGATAAGGGCAAGAAGAAAGGAAGAACGTAAGAAAGGAATGGATAAGGGCAAGAAGAAAGGAAGGACGTAAGAAAGGAATGGATAAGGACAAGAAGAAAGGAAGGACCTAAGAAAGGAATGGATAAGGGCAAGAAGAAAGGAAGGACGTAAGAAAGGAATGGATAAGGGCAAGAAGAAAGGAAGGACGTAAGAAAGGAATGGATAAGGACAAGAAGAAAGGAAGAACGTAAGAAAGGAATGGATAAGGGCAAGAAGAAAGGAAGGACCTAAGAAAGGAATGGATAAGGGCAAGAAGAAAGGAAGAACGTAAGAAAGGAATGGATAAGGGCAAGAAGAAAGGAAGGACGTAAGAAAGGAATGGATAAGGACAAGAAGAAAGGAAGGACGTAAGAAAGGAATGGATAAGGGCAAGTTGAAAGGAAGGACCTAAGAAAGGAATGGATAAGGGCAAGAAGAAAAGGAGTATTGAAGACTGGAAGGAAGAAAGGAAAGAAGGAAGGAGTGGAGAGAGGAAGGCACGAAGTAAGAACGGCAAGAAGAATGGAAGGACGTAAGAAAAGAATGGATAAGGGCAAGAAGAAAGGAAGGAATGAAGAAAGACTGAAAGGAAGGAAATAAGGAAGTATGATAGCAAGAAAGAAGCAATAAAGGAATGTATGCAGAAAAGAATGAAGCCAAGAAGAAAGAAAAGAAGGAAGAAAGGAAGGATAATAAAAACAATGATTAAGAGAGATGAGAAGCCATTAAAGAGGAAAAAAGGAAAGAAGGGTGAGAGAGAAGGTTTTCTTATAGACGAGAAGATAAACAAAAATAGAGAAAGAAAGAAAGGATGTGGAAAGAATTAAGTATAGCAACGGAAAGAAAGACAGAAATAACGAAGAAATGACTGCAAAAAGAACGAAAATTTGATATAAGTGAATGAAATAAAGAAAAAAAAGAGGATTATATAAAAAAAATGAAGAAAATACAGAAATATACCGAAAGAAGAAAGAAAGATAGAAAAAAGAAGGATAAATTGATATAACTATATGAATGAAAAATGGACACATAAAGAAAAAGAAGTTTAGGAAAGAATCAACGAATTCCGAATGAATGGTAAAATATAAAAAAAAAATATTTCTATGCAGAAAGGAACGAAGGTGAATGAAGGAAAAAGAAAGAAGAAACGTAAGGAACAAAAATGAAAGAAAAGAATTTATTATTTCGAAAGAAAAAATACAAAGGAAAGGATCCTGGTAGAAAGAAAGAATTTTAAAAAAAGCCGAAAACAATATAAAACTGTTAGCAAAAAGATGTACAGTTCTATTTAATGAAAAGAGGGACTAGAATTAATTAAAAGAAGGAAAACAACGAATAAAAAGAATGAAAGGTGAAGATAAAGATTAAAAGAATAAATCAATGAAAATAATAACAGTAAAAATTAAAAAAAATGAACGAGAAAAATGAAATTGAAAGAATGAAATGTAAAGAATAAGAGAAAAAAACGAAAGAAGAGAAAGTAAGCAAAGAATAAAAGATTAGGAATAAATAAAAAGATTGAAACTAAAAAAAAAAAAAGAATGAAAGATAAAAAAAATAAAAGAATGAATTAAAAGTAGACTGAAATAGATCATTTCAACAAACGAAAGACTTTTCGAATTGTCAAAAACAAAGATAACACCGTCTCTAACCAGTCAGAAATTTAGACGGAAAGTAAAAATTGACAGTGTCATTTTTGTGTGTTTATTTACTTCCCGCCTTTTCTTACAAGGTACTCGATTTCATTTGCGTTGGTCTAAATTCATAAAAATCTCTAATGGATTTTTGAGACAGTGTTTAAAAAAAAAAGAAGAAATATGTAAAGTTATTTCATATTGTATTAAAATCTTTCTATATTTTTCCCTGCCACTTCTGAAAATTTATTCTTTTTATCATATTTGATTCCATTGAAACCAGCACTGAAAATTCGACGTATTAAAATCGAAGCCGATGACAAAAATGCCAAACAGTTCTTGTACACTGTCTCTGAGACGATTGCAGTCACGTGAGAAGTAAAAGCTTTTTTTTTTTTTGTCTTGCCTTAACTTTCATTATATATGACGTTTATTCCATATTTTCTTTTTCATAAAATTGATGTCTAAAACATGATCGTCTAGTTTTTTTTTTTTTTTTAAACAAGTCAAGAAGCCATTTCATATGTCGGGTTGAAAATATAAAACAAACAACTGTAATAAGATAGGAAAAGCAGTTGTAAAAGTTCAGTGCTCTGTGTCTTATAATTAACTAAATTTGGCAGTTTAATAATTAAGAAAAAATATCACTTAAAATGTTGATTTTCGAGAATTTTTAATGTTACTTGCCTTCAGAATATAGTCGATCATGGTCCTCCACATATTCTCTTTCTTATCTGTGAAAGGGATCGGATAAATAGGACACAGTCATCTTAGTAAAAAGCTTCGGGAATAAACTTATAATGTCCCTTTCTTACAATGCATTTCCCGTCCTGGGTATGACGATAAACTACATCCGCAACCTGGGTTAGACGATAAACTACATCCACGTCCTGGGTTAGACGATAAACTACATCCGCGTCCTGGGTATGACGATAAACTACATACGCGTCCTGGGTAAGTCGATAAACTATATTCCGCGTCCTGGGTAAGAGGATAAACTACATCCACGTCCTGGGTATGAGGATAAACTACATCTGCGTCCTAGGTAAGACGATAAACAACATTCGGGTCATGGGTAAGACGATAAACTACATCCAACAGCAAGAACTCTGATCAGTTTTTAAGGAACGTGGAACCACTTCTTAATTACTGGTCTTCCCAGGTCCACCCTGATACGGAATGGTAGCACCTGTTAGGGTCCTAACAATGGACAAATATTTGACCACACAAACTGGGGTAAAAACACTATGAAAGTGTAAAAATAGGTTTTGATACCAGCAATATATTTTCGTAAAAGGCTATTACCAGCAATGAATTTAAAAAAAATAAAATATTACGACCTATACATTTTGGAAGAAAAAAAAATATTGCCAGCAATACATTTTTGGAAGAAAATATTACCAGCCGACTGTGACGTTATTGTAATTTTTTCATCCTCAAACAATGCATTTCTACAATAAAATCATTTTCAATGTAATTCTTTAGTAAACGGCGTTCACCATAATAAAATCATTTTTCAGTTGTGACGTCGTCCCCCGGTCGCAGCGCCGACACGTTCTATCCTGATCTACCACGGCGCCAGTTGTTGACGTCCCTAAACAGCACCAGTTGTGACGTCTTCGCCGCGGCGCCAGCTGTTCGCTCCTCGCTGCTCCGTCCGGGTGTCGCTGCTCCAAACGTGACGTTCTAACCCTTTGGTGATTCGGGTAGGAATCTGGTTAGATTGATACCAGCCTCGCCGTTCCCAACCTGCTTCCAACGCCTGGTTACCAGGGTAACTGCACTGATCTCCAGTCTGCCTACCCACGTTGTGAATTGATCTTAGACAGACGAGATCAAACAGGGGTTGGGGCCGTAATGCAAGCTGAGTTCAACGGGGGTGATAACACACAAATATGCATAAAAGAAAATAAAATGAAAACTCACAAAGTTCAAAGTATCAAAGAAAAAAAAGGTAACAAACTTTTTATGTCTATTTGTTCGGTACATAGGACTATGTCTACTTCCCGACCCGTTCTGTGGATTGTGGCACGACGCTTTCGCTAGGCAAATTTTAACGCTTCAAGTTGTCTGCTCTCTAAGAAATTTGTGTTTCGGTGTGTCTTTGGACGAAAGTCGAAAAACTTATTTCTGTGGTCTGGTTCTAAGTCGCTCTTCAAACTACTTGTTCTTGGTTGAAGAAGAGTCCAAAATTTTGCGTGAATCTTGGTCAGCTATCTTGAGGCGGTTTCAACACTGGGCACTCATCTCTGCCTGCCGTCCGGGGCTCAAGGGTCTCTCTCTCTCCAGAGTCCGGGGCTCAACTTCTTCTCCAGGGTCTGAGCTCTTCTCTGCCTGCCGCCCGACAAACTCTTCTCTCCAGAGTCTGAATTACCTGGGCACTCATCTCTCCGCCGGTGCGCGAACTAACTTCTTCTCGCCAGCTTGGGTCGAACGAACTTCTTCTCGCAGGGCCAAACGAACTGGCCTCTTCTGCCCGCTAGGGGCGAACGAACTCTGCCAGCCGTCCGCGGCTCAACTCCGCCTGCCGTCTGCGGCTGTACTGATTTCTGTCTGGTGGGGCTTCGTTTTTATTGACGCCCTCAAAACCAGGGGTGGGTCTGTTTGGCGTCGGGGGTTCTTCGATAATTCTAAATACGTATCTACCCTTCTTATTTCTGGTTAGGGATTTTCCACTCTTTTCCATTTTTGGTAACTCTTTTCTCACTCCCACTCTCTTACCGTGCTTCTGAGGGGCGTGCACTAACTTCTCCACTTCTTCGTATCGGCTTCTCACACTTACACTCTGGATAGAGGCGTCGACTGATTTTCTTCGTGCGTCACGTGACTGCCAATCTCGGCTTTCCTGAGGTCCTGGTCCACTTGGTGACGTCTTATCTTTCCCTCCTCCTTCGTGCGTCATGTGATCCACTTGGCCAATGACGTCTTAGTCGGGCGTGAACAACCCGTGGCTTTGTTTTGGGAAAAGAAATATACCTTGCTTAACTAAAAAAAAATAATTAAATCGCCCTTATCGAGCCGATAATGTGACACTCTTGGTTTTAACACGTGGCGTTTGTCAAAGTTTATCGCTGGATTTATGATCTAAGAAAGAAATTTTCCTGGCGTCCAATTTGGCGTCTCTAAAGCAAAAATAAAAATATTTCATTTTCCTTTCGGCCCATGGGTTGATAACAAAAAAAATTTTTATTATCACAGGGCAAACGTTTATTCTGTCAAAAAAAAAAAAAATTTAGCCAGTGAAAACTACTTGTGTGGGATTTTTTTTCCAATTCTTTACACCCAGGAAGACCGTCTGTGTTTCGTCAATGTTCAACAATGGATTTCTTCTTTTTTTGGTGACATCCAATTGATAACAAAATTCCATTTTTTCGTGGACAAGAGGAAATCGGTCAACGCTTGTTCCCTCTGATCTAGATATTTTCGACATTTGATACCTATCAACTATAACCTTTTTCCTCCTCATTTCCGTCTCTTAAGCCGTGTGTGTGTGTGTTCGCCTATGGCCCGTCTCGTATTACTTTTTTTTTCTTTCTTTTCTTCGTTTTCTTCTTTCTTTCCCCAAATCGCTTGAATGCAAAGAAAGAATTATTCCTAAAAACTAAAATATTTCTCGGCCCCAAATAATCCTCAAATGGTTGATAAACCGCAAGAAAGCAAATCATATATCTATAAATATTTCTTTCAAATCGTCAGGATGCATGGTGCCACAATCCTCCCCTAACCGATTTGTCATTTACCCGTAAATGACACCTAAACCCAAATACATCATTTAACATGCACCATGCATTTGTCCTCATGCAATTTTATACTACTTTTTTATATGCAGTGTAATGTTCTTTTTATCTTTTTTGTTCTTTTTTTTCTTTTCATCTTCTTTTGTTCTACATGCAAATGTAATGTTCTTTTTACCTCTTCTTCTGTTCTACATGCAAATGTAATGTTCTTTTTCATCTTCTTTTGTTCTACATGCAAATGTAATGTTCTTTTTCATCTTCTTTTGTTCTACATGCAAATGTAATGTTCTTTTCATCTTCTTCTGTTCTACATGCAAATGTAATGTTCTTTTCATCTTCTTTTGTTCTACATGCAAATGTAATGTGTGCGTGTGTCTGTGGGTGCAGATGTGGTTACTATGGCTTGTTCTTCTTGGTCAATGTTTTCCTCTCCGCTGTGGGAGGTTTTTCCGCCGCACGTGGCGGTCTCACGCCAGCCTCCTCCGCTGGTCTTCCTGCAATTTCTTCGCCAATCCCGTCTGAGTAAGGAACACTGCTCGGCATCTCCCTCTCGAGTTGCTGCATGCTCATTAGATTGTCGTTCGCTAATCTCCCCTTACTCTTAACCTTCCATATTAATACACCCCCGATGGCTATAACTATGAATGTGCCCATCACTATTGACCAACTTATCGCGATCTGCTCATCGTCTTCCCAAACCACAGCTTCATTTCCCAACGCACTTAACTTGTCCCTCAATTGATCCATATCGATCTTTTCTATCGGCTTCATTAGTACTGGCATTTTATTTAAGGTAACATTAGAGAATCCCTTCACTATCGGCTCCCACAATTCTGTACAATT